CCTAGCTGGAGCTCCCTATGGGGCCACGGAGCGTGAGGGGTGTGCCGAAACGGGTGTGACGCCCACATGCGAACGGTGCCATCTGGGCCTTAGTTGGGGCTTCCCATGGGGGCACGAAATGTGTGAGGGGTGTGCCGAAACGGGGGCGACGCCCGCATGCGAACAGTGCCACTGGGGCCGTAGGTGGAGCTCCCGACGGGGCCACGAAACGTGTGAGGGGTGTGCCGAAACGTGGGCGACGCCCACATGCGAACGGTGCCATTGGGGCCCTAGCTGGAAGTCCCTATGGGGCCACGAAGCGTGTGAGGGGGGGTGACGCCCACATGCGGACGGTGCCACTGGGGCCTTAGGTGGAGCTCCTTGTGGGGCCACGAAACGAGTGAGGAGTGTGCCGCAGCGGGGGTGACGATCACGATCACGATCACGATCACGATCACGATCACGATCACGATCACGATCACGATCACGATCACGATCACGATCACGATCACGATCACGACGATGATGATGATGATGATGATGATGATGATGATGATGATGATGATGATGATGATGATGATGGTGATGGTGATGGTGATGGTGATGGTGATGATGATGATGATGATGATGATGATGAGGTGATGATGATGAAGATGCTGATGATGAAGATGATGATGATGAAGATGATGACGATGAGGATGATGGGGATGATGAGGATGATGAGGATGATGAGGATGAGGATGATGATGATGATGATGAGGAGGATGCTGAGGATAACGAGGATGATGCTGAGGATGAGGATGAGGATGAGGATGATGATGATGGGCATGAGGATGATGATGATGATGGTGATGCCGGTGATGATGATGATGATGATGATGATGATGATGATGCTGATGACCGTGATTACCATGATGATGATGAGGATGATGAAGATGACGACGATGAGGATGAGGATGATGATGAAGATGATGACCATGACGATGATGACCATGATGATGATGATGATGATGATGATGATGACCATGATGATGATGATGATGATGATGATGACGATGATGATGATGACGACTATGATGATGATGATGATGATGATGATGATGGTGATGATGATGATGACCATGACGATGATGAGGATGATGATGATGATGATGGTGATGATGATGATGATGACGATGACGATGATGAGGAGGAGGAGGATGAGGATGAGGATGAAGAGAATGAGGATGAGGATGAGGATGAGGAGGATGAGGATGAGGATGAGGATGATGAGGATAAGGATGCGGATGAGGATGATGATGATGAGGATGAGAATGAGGATGATGATGGTGATGATGGTGGTGATGATGACGATGATGGTGATGATGACGATGATGGCGATGATGATGACGATGATCATGTATGCTAATGATGATGATGACGCTGATGATGATTCTGATGATGATGCTGCTGCTGATGATGATGATCGTGCTGATGATGCTGATGATAACCATGATGATGACGCCTTTGCTGATGCTGATGATGATGCTGATGCCATGCTGATGCTGATGATGATGCTGATGACGACGATGATGCTGATGCTGATGATGACGATGATGCTGATGAAGCTGATGATGCTGCTGATGATGAGGACTATGATGGTGATGATGATGATGTTCATGATGATGATGGTACTGATTGTGATTAGACGATGATGGTGATGCTGATGTTGATGATGATGCTGATGTTGATGTTGATGCTGATGCCGATGTTGGTGCCGATGGTGATGCTGATGACGATGATCGTGGTGGTTGTGATGATGGTGGTGGTGATGCTGATGCTGATGATGATGCTGATGCTGATGCTGATGCTGATGCTGATGCTGATGCTGATGCCTATGTTGGTGGTGACGATGATGATGATGATGCTGACGCTGAGGATGATCAGGAGGATGGTAATGGTAATGGTAATGGTAATGGTGATGATGCTGCCGATGATGATGCTGCTGATGATGATGATGCCGCTGGTTATGAATATGATGACGGATAACGATGGCGATGACGATGATTGATGATGGTGGTGGTGATGATGATGATGGTGGTGATGCTGGTGGAGGAGGAGGGAGGAGAGGAATGGGAGGAGGGAGGATTGGGAGGAGGAGTGTGAAGTGAGACGCGGGGCGCTGTCTCTTCAAAACGAGGACCCAACACCATGGGACGGTTGGGGAAAAACAAAGGGAGGAGCATGTTCAGGACACGGACCGCACCTCGACCTAAAGAGGGACATTTATCGTCTTGCACACGTGGGGTTTTGACTTGTGTCCAGTCCGCCACCACGTGCGGCGCGTTCGCAAGTTCTTTCGGTGGGGTTTTGACCTGCGCCCTCCCGCCAACACACGCGCGTTGTTTTGGCCAATTTTCTGCAGCGATGCGTTAAATATTGTCTCCTCCGCCAACATGCGCAGCATTTTTGTCTGTTCGTTCACCCCCAAGCTGAAAGAGTTTCATCCTTGCATGAGATCAGTGGGCGTTACTGGGTCGCAATATGCACGTGCGCAACAGTATCATGGATCCCATCTTGCGATCGTCCAGATTCACCTGCGGGGCGCAGAAGTTTCGCGGATGCCGTTATTGGTCTGGCATGAGTTGGAAGCGGCAGATAATACAATAGACAAACCGGACGTAGGATCCGCGGAACCGTGGATCGTCAGATCAATGTTATGATTCTGCGGAGGAGGGGGATCCCTCACCCAACATCACGACGCACCAGGAAAGGAGGAGGAGTGGGGATGTGCACGAAACATGTCCGGGTGGGTTTGAGGGAGTAGATGTTGACAGCACGTGTCCGTTGGGTTCAAAACGATTCATAATGTACGACTTCATGTATATGAGTATATGTGTATGTATATATATATGTTTTTGCATATGTATATGTATAGTATGTGATATATATATGTATGTATACCGCAATAAGTGTACCATGTGTTATTGTCTATGTGTGTCTACACGTATGGATGTAGGTCTGTATATATGTTTATATGTATGTACCGTATCGCATACTATATGATAATGTATTTGTGTAGTTGCATCGTGCAGTATAGTAGAGTATAATATAGTACATTGCAATAGTATACAGTATCGTTTGGTACACAATCGTATAATATTGTACAGTAGCGCAGATACATATCAGTGAGTGCGTTTGTAAACGTTTATGCTCACGCGGTCTGCGAAGGGTCAGCAGAGCGAGTATCCATCATATGACAGTTCAAGGCATTATGGCACTTTGAACGAAGCTTGAGGTGCCATCCGTGGGCGCCCTTTTCGTTTTCGCCGGCCGGCCGTGCCCGAGACCAGGAGCTCGCGGTAGTCTTCGCCCCCGAGACCGATACCAGGATCTCGGCGTGCCGTCGACCACGAACCCGAGACCAGGAATTCGTAGTTTTCCTTCGACGAACGATGGCGCCCGGGATGGCCTCGGGAACAAAGGGCACAACGACACGGGACTCGTCACGCAAATGGCTGACGGCTTTGGCGCGCGCCGTCCTGAGAGACCAGGAATTCGTAGTTTTCCTTCGACGAACGATGGCGCCCGGGATGGCCTCGGGAACAAAGGGCACAACGACACGGGACTCGTCACGCAAATGGCTGACGGCTTTGGCGCGCGCCGTCCTGATGGTATTCGGGGCCGTGGCCGTCGTCGCCAGACAGATGGCGTCGACGGGCCGCAACAAGTGGATGATGTGCGTCAGCGGCTCGCCTTGTTCGTTTTTCCGTTTGTGGGGAGCTGCTTTCCAGGCTTGGCGACTTCGAGCCGACCAGCAACAAGCTGATGAGACCATGAAGTTGATGATACAGCACATGCAGCAGCTGACTTTTGATGGAAGTGCTGGCTACGCGGGCACGACGTACCCAGGTGGAGACGGTTTCGCTCGAGTTGTTGTGCCCGACGAGATGGGCGGCTTCGCGGTGGGCGATGGGTCGCCGCCGACGGGTATTCCCAGCGTGCCAGGCGTCATTGTGGCGGGCGTTTTCCCCGGGCGGCCGTCTGGCGTTTCTGGGCCGCAGGCCGCCGCCGCGCTCGGGCCCGCCCCCGCTGGCGCTCCCAGCGCGGGGGAGATGCGGGCCTGGGGCGGGCCGGCCACCACGCCGCCAGCCCCCGCATCGGCGGCGGGGGCCGCGGGTGGTCCAGCCGAGCACCGGCCTGCTGAGGAAGGTCAGAAGAAGCGGGCCCAGGCGAAGCAGGTCAAAGAGCTGCTGCACGCTTTCGCAGGTGGACGTGGCCGGGACATTCTGCGGGGAAAACGGTCTTGGACAAGCGCGCACGCCCTGAAGGTGATGGGCCAGCAAGTGTTAGACGCCGAAAGAATGCTGACGGGATTCGGCTACGTGGGCGAGCAGACGATCGCACCGCCGAGGTTCGAGGAGTTGTCGGCGGGCCTGGACCACCTGGGAGCCGAGCCGGCGCTCGCTGCTGGGCCCGGCATTTCGCCGGACGGCAGCGACGCGCCGGGGCCTGGCGCTGCCGGCAGACCCCCAGCGCGCTGCCACCGAGATGCATCGAGCCATCCGCGGCGAGGGCGCCAGCGCAGCGCGGGTAGATCTGCGGGCCCTGTCCGCGTCGGCGGACCGCCGCCTGCGCGGCTGCAAGGCGGGCCCAGAGCTCGCGCGGGCGTTGTCGGACGACGACGGGATGGAGATTGGATCGCGGCGCCCTGCCGCGCGCGCGCGGGGGCAGCGGGGCAGCGACCGCATCGGCGCGCGGCGCGCGTTGGGCCCAGCCCCCCCCGGGGACTCAGCCGGCGCGTCGCCGACGCGGGCGGCGGCCCCAGCGACGACGCACCCCGAGGTAGGGCGCCAGAGGTGGGAGCGTTCGGAGTCCGAGTTGAGGGCCGCGAAGAAGAAGGGGAGGGGCGAGGGCGCCAACCGCGGTCGCCGCCCCGGCGGGCTGAAGGGCGGACGGGGGCAAGGGCGGCACGCCCGCCCCCTCCCCCATTGGCTCGAGGGCGGGGCGCGCGCCCCGACGGGCCTGCCGTCTGGGCGCAGAGCGCCAGAGCGGCGCGGGCGCCGAAGCTGCGCGACCTCGGGCGCCCCACGCTGCAGCAGGTGGTCTCGGCCGAGACGAGCGCGGAGCCCCTCCTGCCGATCGCGCCGGCGAAACGGCCCATGGCGGCGACGAGGCGGCCCAGCCGGCTTCGACGCCGACACAAGCGGGAGCTTGCGCCGTGGGCCCTCGCGAACGAGCGCGCGCGCGCCGCCAGTTCCATGGGCGCGGCCTCGCGCGCGGACCTCGCCCGACCTCGCCGCGCGGGCGCCTCGCCAGAGCGGGCGCGGGGCCCGCGCGGCCTGGCGCATCGGGCGGCATTGCGCGAAGCTCGGAGACTGACAGATGCGCGCCGAGACCTCGGTATGCCCGGCGCCCCAGCGGTGTCGGAGCTAGCTCGCGCGGAAGAGGTGGGGCGCGGAAAGCCGACCCGACTGGCGGGCCGCGAACTTCTGAGAGCGAGGGGGGCTGACGAGCCGGAGGCGGGCGGGCGCGCGAGGTCGCCCGAGGCGCTCGAGCCCGCGGAGTTTTTCTCGTCGCTGCGAGGAGTGCGTCGCGGAGCGGGCCAACCTGCAGATTCGCGCATTTTCTCGGGGGCCGCGGGGGAAGTTCGGCCTCGCCGGCGGGGCCTGCGAGGAGCGCGAGAAGTATTTCGCCGGTGGCAACTTCCCCCCCAAGCCGCGGCGCGTCGGCCTGCCCGTGGGGGCGCAGGCCGTCGCCCGGTTCAGCGCGGTCGGCGAGAAGACGAGCGGGCGGCAGCGGAATATCATCGCGCGCTGCGTTGCCCACTATTCGTTCAAAAGTGTGAGATGCAGGGCGGGTCTAGGGCTGTGCGGCGGCGGCTTTCTGAACCAGCTCCACGCGCCGCCCGACGATTGTTTCTCGGCTGCTTTCGACGAGAGCAACGCGTCGTCGTTCGCGGGAGTGCCCGGGCGGGCGCGAGGGCGGCAACGCACGCCGCCCATTCGGGCCCCGGCTCGCAGGATGCGATTACAGCCCGGCCTGCAGGCTCGACTGGGGCAGACGTTCGGGCCCGCCCCGCGCGGCCCGAACAGCGCGCGTTCTCTGGGCTTTCAACGCGAGGATCTGCCCCATCGCCCCGCGCGCGCCGCTGGCAAACAAAGAGTGGGGGCGCAGCTAGGAGTGGCATGGCAGATAAGGAAGACGCCAGACGCGAGATGGTCCGAGCGCCAGCGCGCTTGCCGAGAGCGATCATATTCGTCGAGGGGCTACTCGGCGGAGAGCTGTGCGGAGAAAGTTCCGGCGGGCGAGGCAAGCGGGCGTCGGGCCCCAGGCGGGCGCGCGCCCCTTCGGGCGCCCGCCGCCCTGCAAACGGCGCGGGCGGCCGCGGCGGGCTCGCGGCGGTCGCAGACCAGGAGCGAGTCGAGGAGCTCCGGCGAGCAGGAGGTCGCCCAGGAGTGGCGGTCGCCGAGCCCGCGAAGTCGGAGAAGGCGTTGGAGCGCGGGCCGACGACCTTGGAACCGCGCCCCCCGGCGAGCCCGATCCCGAGGGCCTGAGTCGACGAGGCGAGCCAGGTGCCGGCGGGGGCGGGGCGCTGGAGGACGGCCGACCATTTTGCGCTGGGCGAGGGGTGATCGGCGCCGAGTGCTTCGGCCCGCCCGGCGGTCGCCCCCGACGCGCGCAAGTCGCAGGTGCTCAGCCTGGAGGACGGCGTGGCCTCCGCGGGCGCCGCCGCGAAGCAGAGGTCGACGGCTGGCCTCCTTGGGGCATCCTGGGGGCCTCATGGGGCGGAAGACGCGGATTTTCAGTGTGCGTTCCCTTTCTTGGCCGTTCGTGGGGCTGTCTTTGGGCCCGCTTAGCCCGTCTTGAGAGCCTCTCGGGCCGTTTTGGGGCCCTCTTGGGCTGCGTTGGGGCTTCCCTGGTGGCCTCTTGGGGAGGCCCGGGGGGCCTGTTGGGCCGTTTCGGAGCGTCGGGTGCTCGAGAAGTCGAGGACAAAGCAACGATTTGAAAACCAAGGGGAAATCATGATTTCTGCCGTTTTGGGAAGGCCCTTGAGGTTCTCCTGCGGCGTCCTGGAGGCCTCTTGGGCCGTCTTGGGACCATTTTGGGCGTCTTGGTGCAATATTTGGGTGTTTCGGGCTCCGCTTGGACTGTGTCGGGGGCCTCTCGGTGCCTTTTCGGCCCGTGTCGGGGCCCTCTTGAGCCCGTGACGGTCGTGCGACAAGTCCCGAGAAGACGAGGGAAAGGCCCAGGAGATTTGTGGATTTGGGGCCTGGGCCCCAAGATTCTCCAGGAGTGAAGGTGAAGGCGCGCCCACTCCGTGCCCGGCGGCGCGGTGGCGGATGATGGTAACAAGACGCCACCGTGCCACTGGGCACGGAGTGGTCGTGTTCTCAGGTCATTTGCCTTACCATTCTAGCAGTCCTAAGGAGGCTTCAGGGGGCCCTGAGCACAACTACACCAATCTCTCAGGTTTTTTGGCGTTCTCGCCTTTTGGGTTTACCGACTTTCCCAGACGGCCCTAGAGGCCCCCGGGATCGCCCCAAGACAGCCCGAGAGACTTCCAACAGGGCCCCAAACTGGTCCAAGATGCCCCAAAGACGGCTCCAAGTGGGGGCCCAGATGGGGGGCCCGAATCGACGTTTCGAGCCTTCGGTCCCGAGGGGCCCCCAGGAGGTCCCAAGAGCTGCCCCCGAGGGGCCCCACAATTGCCCCCAAGTGACAACCGAGAGCGTTCCGAAGAGACTCCAAGAAGAACCCTGGGAACTCCGACCCACAGCCCAGGCGCGGCGGGGGATGGGCCGAAGGTAAGTTTAATGATGCGAGTAAAGATAAACTTAGGCAGGGACTGCAAAAAGCGATATACACATAATTATCTACATAAGTAAACACAAACGTATAATTATATACACGTTTACATGTGTGTATACTGATCAGACTAGTAACAGTAATGCGCATGATAATAGTATGACGAGTCGTGATAGTTGTAGTAGTAGTAGTAGTAGTAGTAGTAGTAGTAGTAGTAGTAGTAGTAGTAGTAGTAGTAGTAGTAGTAGTAGTAGTAGTAGTAGTAGTAGTAGTAGTAGTAGTAGTAGTAGTAGTAGTAGTAGTAGTAGTAGTAGTAGTAGTAGTAGTAGTAGTAGTAGTAGTAGTAGTAGTAGTAGTAGTAGTAGTCGTAGTCGTAGTCGTAGTCGTAGTCGTAGTCGTAGTCGTAGTCGTAGTCGTAGTCGTAGTCGTAGTCGTAGTCGTAGTCATAGTCGTAGTCGTAGTCGTAGTCGTAGTCGTAGTCGTAGTCGTAGTCGTAGTCGTAGTCGTAGTCGTAGTTGTAGTCGTAGTCGTAGTCGTAATAGTAGTCGTAGTAGCAGTAGTAGTAGCAGTAGTAGTAGTAGCAGTAGTAGTAGTAGTAGTAGCAGCAGTAGTAGTAGTAGTAGTAGTAGTATAGTAGTAGTAGTAGTAGTAGTAGCAGCAGTAGTAGTAGTAGTAGTAGTAGAAGTAGTAGTAGTAGAAGTAGTAGTAGTAGTAGTAGTAGTAGTAGTAGCAGTTCACGAGTAACAATAGTACGAGTACATATGCAAATCATAATACTTGCGATGGTAATAACAGTAGTACCGCGGTTGCGACTACTACGAATAATAAGTATAATAGTGTTAAGCATTAATTATTGAACGGTAAGACTGGAACAAATATCCATGCTAAAACTATGAATCGAAATTGTATTGATCATGCTAATGCGATGATGTTGATAGTCATGATGATACTACTTGTACTAGTGCTTAGAATAATATCACAGGTAATAGTAGTAATGGTAAGACTGACGGCGATAGTGACGATGATGATGATGATGTTGATGCTCATGATGGTGATGATGATGATGATGATGATGGTGATGGTGATGGTGATGGTGATGGTGATAGTGATCATGATGGTGATGATGACAGCCAAAACATGACTGTTGCTCTTCCCCCTTACCCTGCCCCTCGTCTTTCACCTCCCCCTCACCCCTCGAAGCCGCGTCCTCGTCGCTCTCCTGATTGCGATTTTTATGTCGATGACGAAATCATTTATCCGACTCCTTCTGCTGCTGTTCTTCCAATTCTCCTTGTGATCAACCTCGTCCCCGTTCCCAGAGGGATCGAGGAAGAGATGGGGATCGGGGATCGAGGATCGAGGGGTAATTGGAGGGTCGAGGATCCAGGATGAGTCGAGGATCGAGGATCCGGAAACGAAGAAGAGGATCGAAGAGGGAGATAGGAGACGATGGAGGACCGAGGACGAGGAGGAGGTGGAGGAGGACCGAGGAGGACGAGGAGGAGGAGGAGAATGAACAGGAGGAGGAAGAGGAGCAAGAGGAGGAGGAGGAGAAGAAGGACTCGGGCGTGCGGCGCCAGACCCCAGGCATCGGGCTCCGGGCACCGGGTCCAAGCCAGGCCCAAGCAAGGGCCGTACTTCGTGCCTTTTCTCTTGCCTCCTGCCTCCTGGCCTCCCCACTTCTGTGGGCGCTGCGAGCTGCACAGCTGTCGTCAATCTCATGGGCTCCTGGGAGGTCCAGCGGAGCGGGTAGTCGCGCAGACCTTTTCAAGACCTCGCGCCTCCTTGGGCCTACGAAATGCGCAACTGTCGCTACTTCGGTGGGTTCCTGGGAGGTCAGCGGAGCGGGTTGACGCAGACCCTTTCGAGACATTGCGGCTCACTGGGGGGCCTGCGACCTGCGCAACTGTCGCCACTTCTGTGGACTCCTGGGAGTCCAGCGAAGTGAGTAATCATCGTTCACCGACTCTCTTCGACTCAGACGTTTTTCGTCGTGGGTGATCATTGTCGTCTCGTCGTCGTTGTTGTCGTCACTCGGCGTCGTGACTCGTCGTCAGTCATCCCTCGAGGTCATCGTCGTCAACGCCATCGTCGTCATCACTCGTTAGTGTCCTCCCGACCCGCCCGCGAGGGCCCGCCCAGTCGACACTCCCGTTCGGGCCCGCCCGCCCGATCCGCCCTCGAAAGTCCGCGCACCCACCCGCATGTTAGAGTCTCCGCGTCCTCATCCTAAACGGTTTTTGGGGTGTCCTGGGGCCCAGCGAGGGCCCCCAGGGGCCGAAAACGGCCAGAAACTCGCATTTGTTTTCACGACGCGCGCGAGTTTGGGGCTGGGGGTGACTACCTACCAGACCACCCCAACCCAACCCGAAGACCCGAACCTGACCCGAGTTTCGGGTTGGGGGGGGTACGGGTTCCACGTGTTTCTTCCATGTTCCCCCACCCCCCCCCACTGGACATCGAGGATAAGCTTGGACCGTCGGGGTTGGATTGGGGTGGTTTGGTCGGTGGTGAGGGGGGGACCTCTGCCCTCCTCACCACCGATCGGCCGGCACGCGGGAGGGCAGGAGGAGGAGGAGGAGGAGGAGGAGGAGGGCGAGGAGGAGGAGGAGGAGGAAAAAGGGAGGAGGGAGGAGGAGGAGCAGGAGGAGGAGGAGGAAGATGAGGACCTCTGCCGGCGCTCCCGGGACGCGGGCGCGGCGCGGCGGCTGCTGCTGCGGAGATGCCCGGCGCGGCCTGCGCCCCGGACGAGTTCACGCACTGCGCGCTCATCGGAGCGGGCCCGCAGAGAGCCCTCCTCCCCTCCTCCTCCTCCTTCCCGCCCTTGCCTCCCTCCTCCCACCTCCCTCCCTCCCCTCCTCCTCCTCCTCTCCTCTCCTCCTCCTCCTCTCCTCCTCCTCCTCCTCCTCCTCCTCCTTCCCTCCTCCTCCTCCTCTCCTCCTCCCTCCTCCCCTCCTCCTCCCCCTCCTCCTCCTCCTCCTCCTCCTCCTCCTCCTCCTCCTCCTCCTCCTCCCCCCTCCTCCTCCTAGGGAAACGTAGGCCTCGAGTGACCCAGAACTCGGGTTAGCCGACGCCGCGCCGCGCCTGCGGGGGCGGCGGCGGAAGGCCCACCGGCGCCATGGGCGGCGCGGTGGTTGCCGGCGCACCTTATAACAAATGCCTCCCTGTCGCACCCCCCGACATATAATTAGGTAGGGGCCGGGCGTTTCGCCTGAGCCGCGCCCACCGTTCATGACAGTGAAGCCTGAAATCTCAACAGCTTTACGGATGGAGGGCGGGTGGTTTCAAAATGTGGTTCTCGCTGGAATTCCGCGCACATTCGCTTGTACATGTTTGGAACAGCTTCACGAATGAAGGGCGGGTTGTTTTCAACATCTGGCTCTCAATTCAGCGCCGCGCACATTCGTCTGAAGAAATGACAACAGCTTCAAGGATGAAGGGCGCGCCGATTCCAAACTGTGGCTCTCATGTCAGCGCCGCGCACATTCGTCTTACAAGTTCGCAACAGTTTCAAGAACGGAGGGCGGGTCGTTCTCAACATGTAGCTCTCGCTTGAGCGCCGCAAGCATTCGCATTAAACGTACGCAACAGTTTCAAGGAATCCGATGGTTCAAGTATCAGGAACAGTGTTCTGGCACGATTTAGCACTGCCCCCCCTGGGCTGATGTGTAGACCCCGCGGGGCGCAAAACATGTTTTAATCACGCGCGCCGCGGGGTCTTCGCTGGCGCCGCCGAGGGGATCAAAACGATTGCATGACAGCCTCAAAACGATTGCCTTTTGTATAAAAGTTGTTGTAGGGGTTGTACACATCCAAGGCGAATTTTTGCTCTCCCTCTCAGGCGTCGTCGTCGCCGTCGTCGTCGTCGTCGTCGTTTTGGTCGTCGTCGTTTTTTCCATCGACCTTATCGTCGTCGTCTTCGTCTTTGTCGTCGTCGGTCGTCGTCGTCGGTCGTCGTCGGCTACAGCGGGCCTGCGCAGCACCCCCCCCCCACACCCCATAGGGCATCCGCAGTGCGTCGTCGTCGTCGCCGCCGTCCGTCGCCGTCTGCCGTCCGCCGTCCGCCGTCCGTTGTCGTCATCCTCGTTCCATCGTCATCATCATCGTCGTCGTCTTCGTCGTCGTCGTCGTCCGTCGTCGTCGTCGTCGTCGTCGACTACACAGACCACGACAGAGGGAGGGAGGAGGACTGCCCGCCTTGTTCGGGTCGGGCGAAGGGCTGGGGAAGGAAAGGGGCGGTTGCGAAACCTGTTGCGCGCACCTGGTTTCGGTCGCCCCGCCGACGGGCCAGTCCTCGATGCATGGCCGCTTTCGGCGCCAGGGGGCGCTTGGAAAATCGGCAAATCCCATCGTGGCCACGCCCCCCTTTCGTTCAGCCCGCCTGCTCGCGGGCCCGCGAGGCAGCTGGCGCCCCCCTGGCTGTGGCCAGGGTAAAAGAAGCGCATCGGCTCGACAGAAAAGAGCACAGAAAGTGCGTGGGCGAGCGCCGACAGCAGTTTTTCATCATTTCAAACAGGTGTCGCCCTGGCTCACGGTCCCTGCTTCTGCCGCCTGGGCCTCCCACCCCCCTCCCCTCCCCCTGTCTGCGCTGTCTGTCGCCTTTTCGTTGGCGGCCGGGCGTCGGCGCTAATCACCGACGTTGCCCCGTTGATTTTCAATCTGGCGGGCGCCACCCCGCAATTCGCCCGAGCAGGGGAACTATTTGTTCAACGCCTCCAACGGATCTGTTGATTCCTCACCCGGGCTCTGCCTAGAAGGGTTCTTATTCGCTTGGTTTAAGGGGGCCGGGCAGTGCAAACCGCCCCGGGCGGTTCCCCCAGTCCCCTGGGAGCCAAGCAAAAGCAACAGCAAAGGTAAAAGCAAACGCGCTGTTCCCCCAGTTGCGCTCCCTGGGCGCCAAGCAAAAGCAAAGGCAACCGTGAAGGCACAAGCGAAGGCAAAGCAAAAGCAAAGCATAGCATAGCATATCATAGCATGGCATGGCATGGCATGGCATGGCATAGTGCAGCATAGCATCGCGCAGCATAGCATAGCATAGCCTAGCCTAGCCCAGCATAGCCCAGCATAACATTGCGCAACATAGCGCAGCATAGCATGGCATGGCATAGCATAGCATAGCATAGCATAGCAGAACAGAGCTGAGCATCGCAGGCCATAGCAGAGCAGAGCATAGCATACCACAGCGCAGCACAGCATCCACTATTGCTGCTGATATATATATATATATGTATGGATGTGTGCGTATGTACTGATATGTGTGTGTGCGCACGTATGTTCCATGCATATTGTCCGTCTGTGGGCCATATTGAGCCCTTAGTGGGGCAGCGTTTACCGTTCCTACTAATATTGCTTCCCTAGAGGCTCCAGTTCCTAGGTATGGGTCGCACGGGGAAAATCACAAGTTGTCATTACGGGAGTGTCGCACCTGCGCAGGTGCAGTTTGGTTGTATTCATGTCAAGCGTAAGCAAGTCAGTGTGCTTCGGAGATGTTTTTTCTTCAGCCGAGGAAGACTGGGATTTGCTCCCCGTGGCCCAGTCGGGCCTCAGAGGGTTGGCGGTGTTGTATGTTATATCCCCACCATACTTATGGTGTCCTCACCGTCGTTCGTTGAATCGTTTGTGGGGAAGTATCGCGTCGAGGACAAATGAGGATGATGTTGGTGATGTTGATGATGGTGGGGCTGCTGATGATGAGGACGAATATTATGGTGAGGCTAATGACGGTGATGAAAGTGGTTGTGATGATGGTGGCGGCGATGATTGTGATGATGATGGTGGTGATGACGCTGACGTCATGCATGTGGGTATGATGATGGTATTGGCGATGATGGGCTTTGATGATGGTAGCGATGATAAGCATGATGACGGTGATGTTGATGGCGGTAGTGATTGTGATGGTAGAGACGATGTTGATGATAATGGTGATGATGATATTGATGATGGTGAGCTGATGACGGTGGTGGGGATGATGATAGTGATGATGATGACAATGGTGATGAAGAGACGCGGAGGGGAGAGGCAATAAAAGGGAAATCGGGGGAAGGGCGGAGGAGGAGACGCGGGGCGGTGTGGATTCAAAACGAAGACCCACCATTGGACTCTCATGAGGGTATCAAAAACGGTCCATGAGGCACCCGACATTGACCAAGAGGGCTCCAGGAGACACTGCAGGAGCCCCCGCAAAGGCCAAACTCAATGAGATCCTGAAGGTGGTACTAGTTGTTTCCGAAAACATGTTGGCTTAAGACTTCTGCGCTTTACCAATTTTCGCCTGTACATCGAGGCCCGCAGTCAGTCGTTTTGCTGATGCTTCGGGAGGACGCCATGGAGGCCTTCACCCCGGCGGTGCAGCAGACGCAGGACAAGTGGAAATCTCTTACCGAGAGCCACCCAGAAATCTTCAGAGCGAGTTCAACCCAGGTGCTCCTCGCGTGGTTCGGCATGGTCTTCTCTCACACCAACCAGTTCGGAGACTTTGCGGTTTTCGACGGGCATACGCCAGAAGTGGTGACTTCAGAGGATTTCGCCGCCACGGAGCTCACTACCATGGCCGACGCCGAGTACGAAAAGAGCCAGAGTTGCCAGAGGTTCGACGCATTCGTGAGCCATCCGTGGGCGGCCGGGCGCATGGCGAAGCATATGGCGCTGCTTTTCCACATGAATATTAGGCTTGCTGTTGGCAGCAGCGTCTTCACATGGGTTGCTGGCAACATTGGTTTTCTGGCCACCGTTGGTTTCGACGTGACTGCGTTGGGAGGCGAGCCAATGCTCGGGCCAGTGTTGATCTTCTTACCGACCATCGTGTTTCTTCTTGTCTTTTGGTTCGGCCAGCAGCTCACCTGCCACGTTTTCAAGTTGAGCGTGTGGGTAGACAAGCTTTGCATCCACCAGACCCGTGAAGACTTGAAGAGCTTGGGCGTTCAAAATTTGGATGTGTTCGTTGCGGCCGCAGACCGTATGATCTTGCTTTGGAACGAGTCCTTCTTCTCTCGCCTGTGGTGCAACCTCGAGGTTGCTACCTTCTGCGCCCTGAACGGGGGGGCCGATCGAATTGATTTCTGCCCCCTCTGGCTGGCCCCGTGGGTGCTCAACACGATCATGCTGGACATTGTGAGCTCCGTCATCTTTGTCATCATGCTTCCGACGTCGCAGAAGATCTCGGACAGCCTTGGCCCAGATCTTGGGCTGTTCGTCAGAGTTGTGGTCAACCTTGTCGTCACCTATTTGCCCGCAATTGTTCCGAATTGTATTTCTTTCCGCGCCAAGATCCGCGCCACAACCATGATGATGCAGCAAATCGAGAATTATCGGCTGGAGGAAGCCAAGTGTGCAGTGGAGTCCGACCGCGCTGTGGTGGAGACCCAGGTCAGCACCTTCTTTTCGAACGCCGAGCTTCAGTTCAAGCAGAGAAGAAGCATATCCGAGAAGGACAACTCCGCCGTGCCTGAGGATCGGGCGGCTCTCGTCCAGCCGGATTCGGAGAGAGCGGGAGGCAGGTCGAATCGACAGGACGGGGTCGATAATTTCAACGCCTTCATGCGCACGGACTTCAGGCGCCACATGGAGGCGCGGGTGGGAAGCGCCACGAGACTCCCCTATTGGATCTCCCTTGTGGTGTTCCTGCCCCTCATCTTCTCGTCCAGCGTCGACGCCCTCGGCTGCGAGAACCGGGACTGCACGGAGGCCGCGGCGCTGATGGGCGTGGAGAGCCCCCACCTGTTCGTCAGCGTGGTTGCTCTGAACTGGTTTATTTCATCGCTTCGCTCATTCCGCCGGCCCATATTGTCGCACCGTTGTGGGCCAGCCGAGTTTTGGGGGCCTCTTGGGGGCCGTTTTTGGGGCCTCTTTTGGGCCTCTTTTGGGCCTCTTGGGCGCCTCTTGGGGCGTCTTGGGGGCCTCTTGGGGGCCCCTTGGGGCCTTAGCACGCCCTGGCCCGTTGGGCCGGCGAATTGGTGCTTTCTTGGTCTACCCGACCACGTACCCTCTGAGCATCCAGCTCATCCATTACTGCATGCAGGAGGTCCGCGACGGCCCGCTCCAGTTCATCAACTGCTGTGCCGCCGTCGTCCTCGGCTACTTCCACATGGGCGTGGTCGAGGGCGCCGTCGTGACGCTGAACTCGATGATCCTGAAAGACTCGGCGTGGTGGGCGCCGGTGGCATGGCTCGGGGTGATGGCCTACCTTTCGGCCCTCAACTACCACCTCTTCCTCGCGAAGGACCCCCTGCCCCTGCGGCCATCGCAGCACGCCGCGCCCGTGCCGCTCGCAGACGGCGCCAAGGCCAAGGCCGAAGGAGGAGGGAGGAAGGAGGAGGAGGAGGAGGAGGAGGAGGAGGAGGAGGAAGAGGGAGAGGAGGAGGAGGTGGAGGAGGAGGGGAGGAGGAGGAGGCGGTGAGGAGGAGGGGAGGTGGAGGAGGAGGAGGAGGAGGAGGAGGAGGTAGGAGGAGGAGGAGGAGGAGGAGGAGGAGGGAGGAGGAGGAGGAGTGAGGAGGAGGAGGAGGAGGAGGCAGGAGGGAGGAGGGAGGAGGGAGGGCGGAGGAGAGGAGGAGGAGGAGGAGGAGGAGGAGGAGGAGGAGGAGGAGGAGGAGGAGGAGGAGGAGGAGGAGGAGGAGGAGGAGGAGGAGGAGGAGGA